GATTTCTTTCCCTCCCATTTCAGGTCTCCTGGGCATATTGTATACTACGATCCAGAGGTCTTTAACGTCAAGCCGGCTGCTTTGAAAGCACGATGTTCTCAGAGGGTCCGGGAGCTGTCAGAACCTCTTATACGTTAAATACAGAAAGCCACATCTGTTAGGCCCCAGTTATCTATCGAGAACACATAATTTAAGACGGCTCAGTTCCCTATTCTGATACTGTCAGTTTATATTCCGCCCCCTTCCAAAAAAAAAGAGAGAGAGAGAGAGACCTCCAGGAAACAGCACCGTGATCTTCAAATAGCAATTGCTGCTGTTACCTGTCTACCTGTCGTCGTGTTTTTAGCCGGTTTTGGGACTGCGGCATGCAATAAAAGAGAGAATGAGAGCCCGCCTCTTTATCCTCGCTATTTCCTCGCAAGCTTCTTGGCTGCCTCAGTGCCTTGGCTCACCTGAAGAACCGCTCACTCTTCCTCATGTCTGTGGCCTGTGCTTTTCCTTTCCCCCGAGTCCCTGTATTCCCCAGTAGCTGATCCTGCCCCGGATCCTTCCCCAGCGAGCCTTGGGAACTGAGATCATGCTTCGTGTTACTTTGCCAGCCTCCCTCGTTACCTAGAAAAGACACAGATGTGGTGAATGAAGCCTTCTGGAAAAATCAAAATGCTTCTTGTAATCTGTAGCTGACATTTAGGGAACAGGTTAACTTAAATGATCACGTCTTCACCAATCTCTGTTCCTTCACTCCTGCTCAGAGACGCTTACCATGCGTGACAGAAAAAGCAAGAGGTTGGTAGCATTATAATTCTCTGTCCAGTTGCATCTGCCCAGAGTTTTTATGTTATTTATTTTATTCTTTCCGTGGATCAGAGTTTTACAAATTCAACTAACTTTTATGGTGCATAGATTTGCATGAAAATGAACTTATTTGAAAACTAATTTTACAGATGAATGAGTTCTGTCTTTAAGGCCTTTGTGGTATGGAGAGGCAATACCACATAGTAGTTTTTTTTTTTTTTTTTGAGACAGGGTCTCACTCTGGCACGCTGGCTAGAGTACAGTGGCGTTATCATAGCTCACTGTAACCTCAAGCTCCAGCCCTTCTCCTGCCTCAGCCTCCCAAGTAGCTGGGACTGCAGGCACATGCCACCACGCCCAGCTAATTTTTCTATTCTTTGTAGAGATGGAGTCTCGCTCTTGCTCAGGCTGGTCTTGAACTCCTGACCTCAAGCGGTCCTCCTGCCTTGGCATCCCAAAGAGCTAGGATTACAGGTGTGAACCACCGTGCCCCCACCCACATAGTAGTTTTGAACTTGAATTTCGAATCAGACAAACCTGCGTTTGTATCCACCATGGATCATTTACCAGATATGTGATCGTAAACAAACTTTCTAACTTCCTGTGCCTCAGTTTCTTTATGCATAAAGTGGGTTCCTGCGGCACTGTGGTAAAGATTAGATGAGAACATGTATATAATAAAGTATGAATTTGAAACAAATTATTGTTTAAAAATTTCGCTGTATTTGCCTTCAGAGGGGAATGGCATAATTCATATCAGTGGGAAAAATATGGCTTGATTCATATTAAACGAATATTTTTAGAGATGTCACAAGACAAAGCAAAAGAACTTTGAGGCTCTAGGGGCAGCGGCTTGCCGGAAGGCAGTAACTGGTAGATAAAGGCTGGTTAGTAAAGCTTGCTTTGTAGGTTCCTCTGGTACCATCTCCAGGCCCATATGGGTTCAAAGTTGTCTTCAGTGTTAACCTTTGTTCTCCCTGATAGAGGTGGGAGCAGGATTCCTTTTGTCTTTGTAAATCTATGTCCTGCTTTTAGGCAAGGAGGGCAGAGAGCCCTCCTGCATCTGCTGCTCCCTAATTGCCTTCAGCTGAACAATCCTTCGTATTTTGGGGTGGTATATCTGCCCCTCACAGTATTTGTTATTCAGCAGTAGTTAACAGTGTTGGGGCTTGGAAACTGATACCCCCAAATACTGCAACATGTTGAACTGAAAAGCCTCCAGGTCCCCTGTCCCCCCTACCATTTCTCCCAAAGAATAGGATAAAGTTGTTTTCTGAAGTTCCCTTATCTGCCTAAAGTCTGGACCTCCCAAAGAAGAAAACAATTACTTCTGGTCCCTTTCCTGAGTTTTCATTAACTGAACTGATAGAAAGGAAGACAAGAGTCTGTCAACAAACCTGGACAGATTTTTGTCACAAACCATTCTGCAGGCCCAACAGACTTTGTCCTAGATCATTATACGTTCTTCAAGCTGAATTATCCACTGAATTATCCTTGGTAATCATTTATTGCCCCTCGACAGAATTCCTCTTCTCCCTCCTCCCAACACCTGTTTTTCCAGGAAGTGTTAGGTGGATATTGAGGGATTCTGGGTCTCTTAGGGATGAAAGTGGGTGCTGTGGCCCCCATCTTGGTCCTGGCCCACCCTAATCTTCCGGGCGGTTGCCATAGCTAGGGAGGAGGGACTATCCTACGGATCTGCCAATCATAACTTAGCAGGCCAGCTGCAAAAGAGTACAGAGGACTCTCTAGCCCATGGGCCAAGCAGCATAGGTACCATAGAGTCCGGAAATTGAAGTAGAACAACCTGCATGCGTAGTTAAGGCTCAGGTCATGTGACTCCCAACTGTCCAATCACAGTGGTTCCATGGTGACCTCTGAACCACAAGGGAGGTCCCTATCCGGGCACTATAAAACAAGATGCAGACCATAACCATACACCCCCACTTTTTTTTTTTTTGCGCTTTTCCTTTTGCTCTCCCTTTGCTGTGACAATGGGGCCAGTCGTCATCTGTGACGTATGTATCATGCTCTGTAAACCTATTATCTTGCTCTTGCCCTGTATTCCTGTCTTTCTCTCCTCGGTAAACCTCGTTTTCATGCTCGCCTAACGTTGGCGTGTCTGGTCATTCTTCAGCCCTGGGCGCACCAAGAGCCGACATTTCAGACTGAAACCTGACACAGAGATCCAAGCCCCCATTCCTTCTGTAACCTCAAGGTGGTATATAAGCTTCTGCACCCCGTCCGGGAGTTGGGTCTTCATTCTGAAGGCTCCCAGGTCACGTAAAACTATGATCAAATCATTTGTGTGCCTTTTCTCCAATTCATCTTCCTTTTGTGGATGGATTTTTAATCAAAACTTCAGAGGGCGAAGGGGAGATTTTTTCGTTTCACCCCTAACAAGTGGAACAGCTCATAGGCTGGTGGAACAGCAGACCGAAGGGTAGCCTTGGGCCAGAGAGGGGCAGGGGAGCGGTTCTGCCCGCCATTGGCTGATTTCCATAGGTTTGTGGGCATGTCCTTCGTTTTCATCTGCCCAAAGGGCGGGTAGACGCGTCTCTATCAATTAGGTGTTGTAAGTCCCCCGTCGACTCTTGTGAACCAACCCACAGCGGACCTGAACTTAAGCGACCCCTGGCTGGCCAGGAAGAACCTGCACACGCTGAGGCAGAGGAGAGTATGCGTCGCTGCAAGGCGCAGCCTCCCACCGCACCTGCCTCCCCTCCTCCCTCCTGAGGGCTCTGCTTCCTAAGGGCCTGTCTGAGGAGGTGCTGGCCCATGGCCTCCCTCGGCAGCAGAGACCGGTCGCAGGCAGTAAGGAGAGGAAGCCTGAAGGCACACGTTCTTTCACAGTTTGTGCTGACTTTTCTTTTCTATCTAGGAGGGGCTGCCAGATGGAGGAACCTCCCCACCCGCCAGCAGCGCGCGTCTGCCTGCCTGCCTGCCGCCTCTTGCCGAGGCGTGGTCTGCCAGCACTTCCAGCACGCCGGGCAGGATGGCAAGACAGGGCAGGTGTCCCCAGGTACGGAGAAAGGGGGCTGTGGGGAGCAGGGAAGCAGAGAGAAGCAGCTCGACTTCAGCGTCACCCCCCAGGTGCCAGGGACACAATGGTGGGGTGGGGACAGCTGTGGGAAGGACGAGGGTGGCTGTGGCTCAGGCAGGGCGACATCCAGGGAAGCAGTAACAGACTCCAGGTTGCACCTGCTTTTGTGTAATGATCTGTCTAAGCAGGCAGGAACGTCCTGGAGCTTGGATAGCTTGAAAGCGCCACAGTCCTGGCTTTAGCGAACTTAAAACATGGCCTGAGTCGGGGAGCCATCTTAAGTTCCGTCTTCTCTGGGATGATTACCACAAGGTTGACCATTGGTGGAGAAAGAACAAGACACTGCGTTGTATGATTTCAAATGTACAGGGAGGCAGTGTAGACATGTGACATTCTGGAATGGGAACTGCAGGATTTAAACCCTGGACCTAAATAAATATACTAGCCTCTCAGGGCCTCAATTTCCCCACCTGTAAAATGGAGGTAAGAGTAGTTCTGTAAAATGCCAGCTCCCCAGACATCACCACGTTGCTTATGGACAAAGCAAAGCTGAGTTTGTAGCCTACTGAGGTAAGGCAGCTCTCTGCCTCGACAGAGCCCTAGTGGCATCTAGCAAAGGGGCGGGCAGTGTGGGATATTTATAGGGTTTTAGGAGGTCAAGTCTAGGGCTGGTCTATTGACCAGAGGAATTGCATAGGGCGGGGCAAGGGATTGAAAGACTCTGCTAGGAGAGGATTTCCAAGGGAGGCTTGGAGGGTTGACTAGACCGGTGGAGTACTTTCAGGATAATTGTAAAGGTTATTTGCAACTTCATCACCCTGAGCAAGAGTTTTCTGAAGCCGTATTACCGAAGGGTGGAAAGTGTAAGTCATGCTCATGTACACGAGTGCACTGTGTAGGTGTAGATGGTTTAGGTTCAAGTCCTCTGAACTTACTCCAGCATTCTTGAGAAGATTAAGACGATGGATGAAATGCTTCTGGGTGTGGTAACACGCAATGATTGTTACCGTTGGTATTCTTATTTTCCTGTCAAAGCCCTATGTCTCTTGCCAGTTTGCTAATGCATAAAATTCCACCTCCAGAATTGTTTCCCCACCACCTAAGAATTTAACTCTTTTGGAAATGGAAACACAGGCAGAAAAGGTACCTCCTTAAACCTTATCAGGCATTGATACTTTGGCATGGAGTTGTTTATAAAATCCTATTTGGGGAACCTTGAAGCTTAGAATATAAGCTTTACTAAGCCCTTAGGAGAAGGAGCACCTCACATCCTTAAGCTATTCTGGAAGGGCCTTGCTCA